CTGCACTTCTCAGCCCATAACTTTTCTTACAGACATCCGATTTCAGAGTGGCATACCTCTAAATGATTGTGGTTTAATTCTCTAAAAATCTGTGTTCTTAGATTGGCCTGTAATTTTTGGTCGATTTTACGTCATTTTAATGGTGTTACCCCTTTCCAAATTCTCGAAAACTGGCTTTGCAGAAAAGTGACCTAAAACCTGCACTTCTAAGGCCATAACTTTTCTTACAGCCATCCGATTTCAAAATGGCATACTTCTAAATGATTGTGGTTTAATTCTCTAAAAAAACTGTGTTCTTAGATTGGCTTGTAATTTTTGGTCGATTTTACGTCAATTTAATGGTGTTACCCCTTTCCAAATTCTCGAAAAATGGCTTTGCAGAAAAGTGACCTAAAACCTGCACTTCTAAGGCCATAACTTTTTTACAGTCATCCGATTTCAAAATGGCATACTTCTAAATGATTGTGGTTTAATTCTCTAAAAAACTGTGTTCTTAGATTGGCCTGTAATTTTTGGTCGATTTTACGTCATTTCCATTTCCGAATTTTCGAAAAATGGCTTTGCAGAAAAGTGACCTAAAACCTGCACTTCTAAGGCCATAACTTTTCTTACAGCCATCCGATTTCAAAATGGCATACTTCTAAATGATTGTGGTTTAATTATCTAAAACACTGTGTTCTTAGATTGGCTTGTAATTTTTGGTCGATTTTACGTCATTTTAATGGTGTTACCCTTTCCAAATTCTCGAAAACTGGCTTTGCAGAAAAGTTACCTAAAACCTGCACTTCTAAGGCCATAACTTTTCTTACAGTCATCCGATTTCAAAATGGCATACTTCTAAATGATTGTGGTTTAATTCTCTAAAAAGCTGTGTTCTTAGATTGGCCTGTAATTTTTGGTCGATTTTACGTCATTTTAATGGTGTTACCCCTTTCCAAATTCTCGAAAACTGGCTTTGCAGAAAAGTGACCTAAAACCTGCACTTCTAAGGCCATAACTTTTCTTACAGCCATCCGATTTCAAAATGGCATACTTCTAAATGATTGTGGTTTAATTCTCTAAAAAAACTGTGTTCTTAGATTGGCTTGTAATTTTTGGTCGATTTTACGTCAATTTAATGGTGTTACCCCTTTCCAAATTCTCGAAAAATGGCTTTGCAGAAAAGTGACCTAAAACCTGCACTTCTAAGGCCATAACTTTTTTACAGTCATCCGATTTCAAAATGGCATACTTCTAAATGATTGTGGTTTAATTCTCTAAAAAACTGTGTTCTTAGATTGGCCTGTAATTTTTGGTCGATTTTACGTCATTTCCATTTCCGAATTTTCGAAAAATGGCTTTGCAGAAAAGTGACCTAAAACCTGCACTTCTAAGGCCATAACTTTTCTTACAGCCATCCGATTTCAAAATGGCATACTTCTAAATGATTGTGGTTTAATTATCTAAAACACTGTGTTCTTAGATTGGCTTGTAATTTTTGGTCGATTTTACGTCATTTTAATGGTGTTACCCTTTCCAAATTCTCGAAAAATGGCTTTGCAGAAAAGTGACCTAAAACCTGCACTTCTAAGGCCATAACTTTTCTTACAGTCAGCCGATTTCAAAATGGCATACTTCTAAATGATTGTGGTTTAATTCTCTAAAAAAACTGTGTTCTTAGATTGGCTTGTAATTTTTGGTCGATTTTACGTCAATTTAATGGTGTTACCCCTTTCCAAATTCTCGAAAAATGGCTTTGCAGAAAAGTGACCTAAAACCTGCACTTCTAAGGCCATAGCTTTTCTTACAGACATCCGATTTCAATGTGGCATACCTCTAAATGATTGTGGTTTAGTCCTCTAAAAAACTGTGTTCTTAGATTAGCTTGTAATTTTTGGTCGATTTTACGTCATTTTAATGGTGTTACCCCTTTCCAAATTCTCGAAAACTGGCTTTGCTGAAAAGTGACCTAAAACCTGCACTTCTAAGGCCATAACTTTTCTTACAGTCAGCCGATTTCAAAATGGCATACTTCTAAATGATTGTGGTTTAATTCTCTAAAAAAACTGTGTTCTTAGATTGGCTTGTAATTTTTGGTCGATTTTACGTCAATTTAATGGTGTTACCCCTTTCCAAATTCTCGAAAAATGGCTTTGCAGAAAAGTGACCTAAGACCTGCACTTCTAAGGCCATAGCTTTTCTTACAGACATCCGATTTCAATGTGGCATACCTCTAAATGATTGTGGTTTAGTCCTCTAAAAAACTGTGTTCTTAGATTAGCTTGTAATTTTTGGTCGATTTTACGTCATTTTAATGGTATTACCCCTTTCCAAATTCTCGAAAACTGGCTTTGCAGAATAGTTACCTAAAACCTGCACTTCTAAGGCCATAACTTTTCTTACAGTCATCCGATTTCAAAATGGCATACTTCTAAATGATTGTGGTTTAATTCTCTAAAAATCTGTGTTCTTAGATTGGCCTGTAATTTTTGGTCGATTTTACGTCATTTTAATGGTGTTACCCCTTTCCAAATTCTCGAAAACTGGCTTTGCAGAAAAGTGACCTAAAACCTGCACTTCTAAGGCCATAACTTTTCTTACAGCCATCCGATTTCAAAATGGCATACTTCTAAATGATTGTGGTTTAATTCTCTAAAAAAACTGTGTTCGTAGATTGGCTTGTAATTTTTGGTCGATTTTACGTCAATTTAATGGTGTTACCCCTTTCCAAATTCTCGAAAAATGGCTTTGCAGAAAAGTGACCTAAAACCTGCACTTCTAAGGCCATAACTTTTTTACAGTCATCCGATTTCAAAATGGCATACTTCTAAATGATTGTGGTTTAATTCTCTAAAAAACTGTGTTCTTAGATTGGCCTGTAATTTTTGGTCGATTTTACGTCATTTCCATTTCCAAATTCTCGAAAAATGGCTTTGCAGAAAAGTGACCTAAAACCTGCACTTCTAAGGCCATACCTTTTCTTACAGCCATCCGATTTCAAAATGGCATACTTCTAAATGATTGTGGTTTAATTATCTAAAAAACTGTGTTCTTAGATTGGCTTGTAATTTTTGGTCGATTTTACGTCATTTTAATGGTGTTACCCTTTCCAAATTCTCGAAAAATGGCTTTGCAGAAAAGTGACCTAAAACCTGCACTTCTAAGGCCATAACTTTTCTTACAGTCAGCCGATTTCAAAATGGCATACTTCTAAATGATTGTGGTTTAATTCTCTAAAAAAACTGTGTTCTTAGATTGGCTTGTAATTTTTGGTCGATTTTACGTCAATTTAATGGTGTTACCCCTTTCCAAATTCTCGAAAAATGGCTTTGCAGAAAAGTGACCTAAAACCTGCACTTCTAAGGCCATAGCTTTTCTTACAGACATCCGATTTCAATGTGGCATACCTCTAAATGATTGTGGTTTAGTCCTCTAAAAAACTGTGTTCTTAGATTAGCTTGTAATTTTTGGTCGATTTTACGTCATTTTAATGGTATTACCCCTTTCCAAATTCTCGAAAACTGGCTTTGCAGAAAAGTGACCTAAAACCTGCACTTCTAAGGCCATAACTTTTCTTACAGCCATCCGATTTCAAAATGGCATACTTCTAAATGATTGTGGTTTAATTCTCTAAAAAAACTGTGTTCTTAGATTGGCTTGTAATTTTTGGTCGATTTTACGTCAATTTAATGGTGTTACCCCTTTCCAAATTCTCGAAAAATGGCTTTGCAGAAAAGTGACCTAAAACCTGCACTTCTAAGGCCATAACTTTTCTTACAGCCATCCGATTTCAAAATGGCATACTTCTAAATGATTGTGGTTTAATTATCTAAAAAACTGTGTTCTTAGATTGGCTTGTAATTTTTGGTCGATTTTACGTCATTTTAATGGTGTTACCCCTTTCCAAATTCTCGAAAAATGGCTTTGCAGAAAAGTGACCTAAAGTCTGCACTTCTCAGCCCATAACTTTTCTTACAGACATCCGATTTCAGAGTGGCATACCTCTAAATATTTGTGGTTTAATTCTCTAAAAATCTGTATACTCAACTTGGTTTGTATTTTGGGGTCGATTTTTCGTCATTTTTACAGTGTTACCCCTTTCCGAATTTTCGAAAAATGGCTGTGCAGAAAAGTGACCTAAAACCTGCACTTCTAAGCCCATAACTTTTCTTGCAGGCATCCGATTTAAATGTGGCATACCTCTAATTGATTGTGGCTTAGTCCTCTAAAAAACTGTGTTCTCAACTTGGTTTGTATTTTGGGGTCGATTTTTCGTCATTTTTACCCCTTTCCGAATTTTCGAAAAATGGCTTTGCAGAAAAGTGACCTAAAGTCTGCACTTCTAAGGCCATAACTTTTATTACAGACATTCAAAGTGGTACACCTCTAAATGATTGTGGTTTAATTTACTTCTGAAATATGTTTTTAGTTTTATAAAAATCATAAGTCGAATCTGTCTAAATGATAATTTTATGCTTATTTTTCCGTCTCCCATTTGTGAGCTACGCGCTGATTCGCCCTGTAATTATGATATCAAACTCCACTTTGGACTGGGAATCCGTGGATCTACGCTCAATAGCCGCTAGTAATGCACTACATCAGTTTTAAGAGTGCGTGCAATTGCGACTTTCATATGAATCTCCGACTCGGCTTTACGACCTGCCGACGGTTGTCTATTTAAATTTTATAGCCACCCGCAGTTGGTGGCACAAAGCACTTGACTCATGGCAATATCTGGCCGTCCTGCATCCACTTCCGTTTCTGACCGGACGACGGGGGATCGGATTCGGGTTTGTTGTGACAACAGTTCGTAGGCAAAGACAACAAGCCGATCTGTGGGTGTCATAACCACTCATACTCGCGACGATTCGGGGCTTGTGTATCCAGATGTTGCGCACAATTATCATATCAGCAGCACATCATTTGCGGCTAAGTGAATTAGCAGATTGTACTGGCACACTCTGTGTCTTCCTTAAAAAGCGACTCTCTCGAATCCGAGATCTCAGTATTAGTTTAGCCCTACAACCGAAGAGATCCGGAATGAAGAACTCCCACGCGAACGCAGAGTACGAGTCCTGCTACTACGAGGATATAACAAAATCGTGGCTTAATCAAACTAAAGGATACACGGACTGCAGTTATGGATACAGCCAAAGTGTGACATCAGCCTATGTGGATTACAATAAAATTGAGGCTAATTGGTGTACCGAATCCACCGATCAATGGTTACAAACTGGGGAAACTGATGGTCACGATGTGCCAAAACAAACGCAAAAGCTCCGATCAACAACATCGAATCGGAAAGAACGCACAGCTTTCACAAAATCGCAACTTAAAGAGCTGGAATCAGAGTTCTGCTACTCCAACTACCTGACACGTCTGCGTCGCTACGAGATCGCAGTGGCTCTGGAGCTGACGGAACGCCAGGTGAAGGTGTGGTTTCAGAATCGCCGAATGAAGTGCAAACGCATCAAACTGGAGGAACAGAACGAAAGCGTCACCAAAACACAATTTTAGTTTGTACAAGGACATATTTTAACACAATTCATCTTACAAAATGTTTTGCTTACTTAACAACTATAGTAAAGGTATTTTAAGCTACTTCTTAGACTTCTTGGCCTTTCCCTTGGGCAGGGGTTTGGCCAGCGACTTGGCTGCGGCCAGCTGCAGCTTCTGGGTGGCAGCATTCTTGTTGCTCTTGACAACCGGAGCGGGTTTCTTCTTCTGCACACCGCCAGTGCCGGGCTTGCGCTTCAGTTTATCAGTCAGGCTCGCCTTGCTTGCTTTCTTCTTGGGCGGTGGCGGCAGATCCTCCTCTTCGTCGCTGTCATCGCTAGCGTCCTCCTCATCGAACTCAAGCTCAGATTCATTATCCGATGCGTCCACGTAGTCCTCATCGTCGGAGTCCTCGTTGATGGTGTTGCCCAGCAAATCCTCAAGCTTAGGCTCCTTCTTCGCCTGCTTCTGTTTCTTGCCAGCTGTCTTGGCTGCTGCCTGGCTCGTAGATGGCTCAGTGGCCTCTGCCTCTGGCGATTTCTTTGTCTTCTTGACTGGCTCCACCAGTAAGTTTGAGAAATCAATGCCCAAGTCCTTGTACTTCTCCTGGAGCTTCTTAATCTTGTTGATATTGGCCACAGTGCGCTTCTGGCAAGCGGACTCATCCCAATTGTTCTGCTTCTTGACGCTGCGCTGCGTGGCTTTGGTCAACTCCGACACGTAGATTTCCTTGCCGGCCTAAAAAGGGTGTATGTTTGGTTTAGAGATTACAAAGTAAATGTATTTCTTATCCGGACTCACCTTGTTCTTGACCTTCTTCAGAGAGGTTCTGAAATAGTTGAAGACCTGCTTCTCCGGCGGAATGTACGATGCCTTAACCACCTTCTGGAACATGAGGTAGTTGTCCATGGTGTCGGCGGCCACCTTGGCCACCTCCGGATACTCGAACTCCACGAAGGCGTAGCCCTTGCTGTTTCCGGTGCGAATGGATCGGGCCAAACGGACGCGAAGCACCCGGCCGAACTGTCGGAAGTACTGGCGCAACTGCTGCTCGAAGAATCCGTGGGGCAGGTGCTTCACGATGACCACGCCGCGTTCCGGACCCTTTACCTTTTGGGGCTTGGCCTTGGCCACTTTTTTCTTGAGCTAAAATGGATGCAGTTTACGGTTATCATCCGCGGAGACAGTTGTTTTTGTAGGGTCTTACCTGTCCCGAAACCACCTCCTTGGCTTTCTCTAAAGCTTTCTTGGGTGTGGCCTGCTTCTCGATCTTCTGGGGCTTGGGTTTTTTAACAGGCGGCATATTGAATTGTATTTATTAACTAAATTAAGTAATAAAAGCGATACAAGTATAAAATCTCCAAAGGCACCGCACGTGGAGCAAGAACAATAATAAGTGTTGTTAAACGTCGAAAAACAAGATAATGGTATATATTTTTGTCATATTTTGGTATACTTTAGTGTAAAAGTTTTTCATAGCTTGGTCACTCTTTAATTTTCTTATTTTGTTTCTTTATTTTTTGCGCATTTATTTTGCCGCCAATAAATAATGAACGTATCTGTGACATCCTTGAACATGCTGGAGGAAGACGAAGTGCGTCTGGGCTACAACCATGAAGACATCCAGACCTTTCTGAAGAAATCGTCTATCAAGGACTTGTTTCCCTACACAAGTGAAATCACAGAGGCAAAGCGGGTAACTCTTTAATAACTTAGTTTAAACCTATTTATTGTTACTAAACTATACCATATTCCATATTAACTTAGTTACTGGATCGATTTGTAGTCACCTTATCAGGGAAGCTGGTGCTGCATCTGGAACAGCTATTGGATCTGTTTAGCCTGTCCATTATGATGATAACATACGAAAAGGAAAATATGCTGGTGACGAAGGAACGCTTTATGTTAGTGGATGTGGTCAGTCATCTGGCGGATTCCCTGAGTTCAGAGGAGGTAGTACTCTCCACTTATCACTTCTATTCTGTATATTTATCCCTAAACTTCTCAGATTATCTTCATGGCCACTGGTTTGTTCGAGAACTTCGTTTCTGGTCTGGGTTTGGAGCGCTTGGAAAAGGTTCTGGACGTGCAGGCCGCCATTCCCGCCTTTGTGGAGTCCTCCGGACTAGGACTCAATGTTGCTATGGCTCTTTTGCTTACCATAATGGGGCGGTACATAGGAGTACAAGTTTATCTGGATAACAAGGAAACTGTAAGCCTTTAATGCTTCTATCCAGTCCATCACTGTTCGCAAAGAGCAATAAATTATAAATTGTTTTCGCTACATTTTACAGGCTCGCCAGGCTTTCGAGATGGCAAAATTGATCAACTGGCAGCAGCTGGCGGACAGTGGCCGCCATGCAGATATGTATATGCTCATCCGAACATTCAGCCTGATCATCAACTGCCGTCGTTCACGAGAGGAGTGTCCTGATTGGAAGAATAACCTGGGTCCCGAGATACACAAATACTTCCTGCAGGTCGGGAAGGCATTCGATAAATCTGCTGAATATGGGGCCTTCCAAATGATGGTAAGTTGGTATACGTTTATCTCGCAATTTGTTTGATATATATTACTTAAAGATTGAGCGTTTCATTGCCTACTGCGTTATCCGCGGAGCAACCACAACGTAAGTTCACGGCAGTAAGTGTAATAAATAGATTTCTTTCTAATAATTTATTTTCCTTTATAGCCCTCAACTATGCACCTACAAGATTTCAGAGATAACTAATTCAGAGGCTGACCAAATTTAGGATTAAGTGTTATGTTTCTGTTTAGCTTAAACTAGCTTAGCAATGTGTAAGAGTATGTAAGTGATGAACATAGTTTTTAATTTGAACACATTTAGCATACAGCTGAGATGAAAAACAAATACCAAATATCTAATCTGTTAAGTAGTGGATAACCTTTTTTTTTTTTTAAGAAAAAGATTTTTAAAATTAAATGAAGTTGGCGGACATTGACCTTGTCTTTTTAAAGTGCGCCTTTGCCATTTTAAAGTGCGGTCATACTGATGGCTCTGGCACTTTAAGATATATGGCAGTATTGGTCATTGGCCAAAATATTTTGATGTGGAATAATAATTATTTTAACTTATTTCAAAGTTTAAAATCAATTTAACAAAATCGATTATATAAACCCATTTGATTTATTTAATAGACCAAAATAAGCCATAAAATCTGTAAAGGTTTTTTTAGTGCTTTCTAGGAAAGCAAGATTTTTTGGCGCTCTGGCCGCGGTCACACAACGCCCCACGGCACGTGTTGACTGCATTTAAAAGCGCTTTTAACAACATTTGGCAGGAGTTGCAGTGGCCGAGCAGTCGCATCAGTTGCCCAGGATGTTCTACCTAATCGGCCTCGGCCTTGGCGACCTCAAGGACATCACGGTCAAGGGTCTGGAGATAGTGAAACAGTGCAGTCGCGTTTACCTGGAGATGTACACCTCGATTCTGGGCTGCAGCCTTGAGGATATGGTAGGTATCCATTGGTTTTCGTATGGGGAGAGCGCCCACCCTCATGTCTCTGTAAACCCCACAGCAAGAGTTTTACGGACGACCCCTCCTGCTGGCCGACCGAGATCTGGTAGAGCAAGGAGCCGATGAGATCCTGGCAGGGGCTGGCGAATCCGACGTGGCCCTGCTCGTGGTGGGCGATCCCTTCGGCGCCACCACCCACACAGACTTCATACTGCGCGCCAAGGAGAAGAAGATCCCCTACAAGGTCATCCACAACGCCTCGATCATGAACGCCGTCGGGTGCTGCGGCCTGCAATTGTACAAATTCGGCGAGACCGTGTCGATTCCCTACTGGGACGAGACCTGGAAGCCGGACAGCTTCTACGACAAGATCAAGCTGAATCGCCTGCACAACATGCACACGCTGTGCCTGCTGGACATCAAGGTGAAGGAGCCAACGCCGGAGTCGCTGATGCGCAAACGCAAGGAGTACATGCCGCCGCGCTTCATGAGCGTGGCGGAAGCGGCCCACCAACTGCTGTCCATCGTGGAGAAGAAGGACTCGCTGGAGAAGAATACAGTGCTCAACGAGCAGTCCCTGTGCGTGGGACTGGCCCGTGTGGGCCAGGAATCGCAGCAGATCGCCGTCAGCACGCTGCTCGACATGCGCTCCACCGATCTAGGCGGTCCTCTGCACTCACTCATCATTCCCGCCAAGGAGATGCATCCCCTGGAGGTGGAGTTTCTGCAGCAGTACGCCGCCAGCCTGAAGCTGGACGACTACAACCACTAATTCCACTGGGAAAATACCTATTTAAGTGTCTAGGAAATGTTGTCTGTGCATCTGAATTGAATTTACGAAGCAAGAGGAGCTGGAAGCTCAGGAAGAAAGTGATATCGCTTGATGCCACCCCCGTATACGTATGTAGTCTGCCCCTCGGCAGCTGAAATAAAACCGCATTCACCCATCGTACATTTATCTCAGAGGCTTTAATGGGGGGTTGCATATCAATAGTAGAGGCCTCGCATACGGCGTGAGGATCCCTGGCGGTCGTATAGCATGTTAAACTTATTCACAAAGTGGTGCATGTCGTTGCAGCCCTTGGTCAGCGTGCCCAGGTAGCTGATCAGGCCCACATCGTTGCACTGCGTGTAGAACTCCTCCTGGAAGGCGGGCACCTGCATAACGGGCAGACGGTGGCACAAGGCGTAGGCCTCGCGCAGAATCTCCTGGTTGGCCCGCAGCTTGCCGGCCTCCACATCGCGAATGTACTGCAGCACGATCTTGATGCGAGTATTGAGCATCTTGATGGCACTGTCCTGGGCCACCAGATGCTCGGCCACCACGCTCTTCTCACCGGACTCATTCGAGGTCATGCGCGCCACATGGTCCACGCCAATGCGCTCCGCCTCCTCGGTGGCCAGTGTGTAGGTGAGGGGCACGAACAGCATGGTGGCCTCACCGTCCACCAGATCGATCAGGGACTCAAAGAGCTTCAAGGGGAGATGGTCCACGCTGCGGGAGAGCGGATTGAGCTGCAACATAATGGGACACTCGTTGATGGCGGCTATTTGTTTCTGGATCTTAATGTCATCAGCCGTGGGATTCTCGCCCGTTGTGTACCAGCCTATGAAGTCGAGATCGCTGAATACCTGGGGAGCACATAGGGGATTATCTAGTCTGGCAATGGGTGTGCATACTCAGGTACCCACCTGCTTGTACTGTTGCTCCTTCTTGTTGTAGTAATCCTTGTTGATCACCGTTTCATCCCCTATGACGTCCGTCTTGAGTTCAAATGAGTTCATGATCTCAATGTTGCGACCCTTCTGCTTGCCAATTAGGGCTCCGTACACCTGACGCGGCTCACCGTGCTGCGCCCGGAATCGTGTCCAGTGCTCCGATATATTCATTATGACCAGCGGATGCAGCGAAATGGTAACCGAGCCACTTATGCCCGCCGCAGCCATTATGTTTCCCTGGGGCTGCGCCTGTTGGTCCGGAGTGAGATCCTGTGATTTGCTGGCACCGCCGGACGAGGACGAGGTGCTCGGCTTGGCCGACATGTCCACATCCACTTCCATTTGCTCCATGCTGCCTGCGAGCTCTTAATAAATCGTAGTTAGCGGTAAAAAGTAAACTCGAATTCTTTTTGTTTGATAAGCTCCGGCTCTCCGCCAGTGTGACCGCGGCTTAGTTGCTTAAAAATACAAAGTTTCTGGAGAGTACAGCGAAGACTCGAATCGTAGTCCATTACTCATGTATGGTGAAAATTAAGCGGCGTTGCCATGTTGCTAAAAAAAATGGTGAGTAATTTGAAAACTTTAGTTTAAAAATCAAAAAGCCTGAATTTTTTAATCCTGGTTGACTAACATTGCCTGCCAATCTAAATTTACTTTATGCTAAAAAACAACGTGTTTTAAAAATAAATCATCTCTGTAAATTTTTGATAAATCAAAGTCTTTACTATATAATTACATATATTTATTTATTAATGTCGTACTTAACTAAACGAAAAAAGGCATGGTAAACATCATTTTTTTTTATTTCCATTCCTGTTTAATCAGGAAATTGCGGATAATACCTATGTAAGAACTTCGTTTTAACAAACTTATGGTATGGGAGATTGATTTTTTAACTTCTAGTGCTTTTATCAAGAACAAAGACATAAACAATAAACGTTCAGTCATTAATTCCGGTATTTCGGATTTCAAGCGGATAGAAACTATCTTGAGTTCTTGAGACTTATTGATCTCTTCCGCAATGATGACCCTGCCGTTTCTCAGCTCTGATCTCCTAATGAAAAAGCAGAACAAATAAAAACTCACTTTGTTGGTTTTGTTTTATTATATTTATCTTTTCTTCGTTTTATTTGTCTTCGCTTTTAATTTCGTGCTCGCCGTATTTGTTCGTGCGAATGTTGTAAGTTAGACTAGTTGGCTTAGGACTACAAATATTTAACATTAACATTTAACAGGCTATTTACAAATCGTCTATACACAATTACAATAATCACTTAGCCTAGAGGGGATTAAAACTAAACGCGCTTCGTTCGTGAGGTTCTAGAATTAGGCGACTTACACATTAGGCAGATCTCGAAAATTGACCCAGTTTGTTGTACGGTTTGTTTACACATGCGAATGCAGCAGCCACAGATGATGAGGATGCGAAGCGAAGCAATCAAGCGAAGCTGGCTGTCGGTTGTCTATCCATTGTAATCAAATTGAAATTACGCATGCGCCCCGTGTTCTCCATGTGCGATCGATCATCGGCAGGCGGACTTCCTCTGTGTGTGTGTGTGTGTGTGTGCATGCTCGTGTATTTATGGCTCTTAAGCTTAGCTTAGCGTTAGTTGAAACCTTTGTACCAAAACTACTTCCGTTCCGTCCGTTGCCATCACCAATCTGATCCGTGTTTATACAAAATTTGTTCCCCCGTTTCGGGCAATCCCTGGAAGCACTTTCCCTCTAAAATCTGACTGATTTCGGTTTAGTTGGCCTTTAGCTTTTGCGCCACCATCGCTGTGTTGTTGTTGCTGTCCGCCTTGCAGGGCGTGGCATCGAGTTGCTGCTGTTTCTGCTGCAGCTGCTGCTGCGCCGCCTTGGACTTCCTGTAGCTCTGCATATAGAAGTTCATGAAGAGGCAGAAGAAAATGGAGGCATTCAGCAGGAGCAGCGCAGAGATGAACTTGGAGAACTGGCACTGGTTGCTGAAGAGGGCGCGGAGGGTGTGGAAGATGCACAGCACGAACTGGGCCTAAATAGAAGGAAAGTATTGCGATTTAAAGTCAGTCTAATGTTAGCATATATGGATGTCAGAAGAACAATAGCCTGGCTGAACTTTGTAGAATGTACATTTGGTACTTAAAATGGATGTCAATAAACAAAAGCCTGGCTGGAATATGTAGAATGTATTTTTAGAACATAAAATGTATTTCTGGTCCAATATCTCTGATAATTGTAATTTATCATTTGTTTTTCATTGAACAACAATTTTAAAGATCTAAAGATATTTTGTTTTCAACAAAACCCAATAGCTCCATTCTTATTTAAAACTTTTCCTGGTAGTCCAAAAAATGCAAATGAAAATAGACAGATTTTTATATTATCACAGCTTAGAAGTGGCCTAAAAAAGTTTTCGTTGACTTTTCCGCTTTCGACCTACATCTTAACCAAACATCTTACTTTTTATTGCCTAGATTTAAGTACACTGACTGATTAAGGTTGAAAAGTAAGACCTCGCAATTTAATAGATGATGTAATTTCTATCCATACGTTTTCAACAACAAGTGTTGTTCCATTTAATCATACATATTAAACAGTTGTGGGAATCATGTGGCAAATAAACTTGTTACGCTTGAATACTGGGAAAGTTCTGAAGAGAGCACACACCCCTTCCACTAACCAGGTCATAATCAGAGCTCAACTTGACCCACCTCCTCCTGGTCATTGGCGCTGGCGAAGGGCAGAGAACTTGTCTCGTTACGGAAGTTGTAACGTCATCCAATTAGCCGCGTCGCTTACTGCCAAGTCATTGCTTTTTCTAGCCTTTTTTGCAGCCCAGGTTACAGCTCTTTGAATGCGGCTAATAAAACAAAACTGCTGCCAGTGGAGAGCACCCTTGAGCTGGGCGGCAATCAAAAAGCACTCTGTGCGGCTACAATGTGCGCACATTGATTGGAATTAGCCGGAGTGTCTGATATGCGGCTATTAACTAGCCGTGCTGCTAGTGGCTAGTGGCTATGTTTAGCCAAGTCCAACAAGCTGGCACTCGATTGGCCTTTATCGACCCCGTGGCGCGTGTTGTGGAGCCCATATTCATCGCTTCTGTTTGATCTTGATCGATCAAGGTATTTAGATGGCACCCACTCCCACGACATTGAAGACTTAACAAGCTGCACTCAGATCTCGGGGAATGTCAATTGGCTTGTCTTTGAAATTCCAGTTTGATTTAATAAAGAATAGTCTAATGAGGCCAAGGAATTGCCGACTGTCACCAAATTGACATTTTTGGAGTTCCATGAGAAGGTATTATTTAGAAGAATTTTTAACGAAAATTAGTAATTGTATCCTAATCCTATCACTAACATATATGTAACCTAGCCTTCTCATCTTGATTTACTATGGCTATCATCTTATAAAACATTTTTTCCTGTGCAGCAATCTCGACAGCGTGCAGTTTTCGGTGACCTACAAATTATTACGCTGGCCAGCCAAGCGCTGCAGGTTTCCATTACCACTGCAGCAACAACTGTTGGCCAAGATGGCAACTGCAACTGCTGGCCAAGTTTGCGTCTTGCGGTCCGTTGAAAGCCAACGTCGACGCTTAAATGCTTCATTGCACGAGACACGAGCACCGTGGGCACCGAGTGATTGATGGAAATGGGCCGATTCTCGAGTTTATGGGAAGTCCAGCCTGACCAATGGCCGGCTTCCTTATAAACGTTGCCATTATTGAGAGTAAACAGCTTTTATAGAATCAAAATAGTTTCTAAACGCTTTTTTGTTTTCCTCACATTATGCAACCACAGTAGCTTCTTCCATAAATTGTTTGTAATTAAATGCTAAATTATTTTTGCACGTTTTTTTATAGGTTTGACCTCGCTGTTTGCTTGTGGTTCGTGCCGGATTTTCTTTGATTAATCTAAGAGAATAGATTTTGAAACTTATTTTGAACGGAAATAACTTTTGCTTATTGTTTAAACAACAAAACCCAATCCTCAAATTAAAAAGTTTTATATTTTATTAGTCGACCTGTCGAAATTGCGATTGATTTCCTACCGAGCCCTTGCTAAATGGCACTAAAAACTATTTTATCTTGCCAAATAACTATTGCCATCTGATATTAGTAAGGCCAACTAGGCTCGCCCCTTTCAAACATGTTTTTGGCAACTTTAAATGACATTTTTGGGTTACAGTTTTAGATTGTAGCCCACACTGACCTTTAAGATCAATTACTTTGATTTGAAATTGTTTATTTCCCTTTAACTACCTGTTTAAACATTCTTCTTATTAACTGAAATATGTAAGTTAGGCACACAATCACTTGAATTTTTCTTTTTTAAATAAAAAGTAGCTATTACTGTTGGTTATAAACAATGTTCTTGGTTTTCTAATGATGTTTTTATATTAAGTATATTTTAATTATGAATAGATTTTCTCATTAAAATATGAGAATATGTCTTTATTGACCCACTGTTCCAGCACAATTGATATTGCACAATCGTGCCATAGATCATTGAACGCTGCTCCGGTGGAAGCGAGTGTGCGTGTGCCGGTGACTACCGGTCGAAAACAAAAGCCAGTTGCACTTGCAACATGACTGATCTGAACTGGCGTCTTGGATCGCCGCACCGGCAATTGAAAGTGGTAGATGGCTTGTTGACTTTTACCCAGACACGGAGTCGGGCCCAATTGCATGAGTAGTCTGCCCAGTGGTCGCCATCGACTGGTCCGGACTCCGGAGTGGGGGATTATTCACATGCAGCCGCAACAGCCGACATAGACACTCACCCAGTTGGTGTGGCAAGTTCGTCGCGGTGCTGGACAAAAGTGAACGCTACCGCTACCGCTACCGCTCGACATTCATTGCCGCAAAACGGAACGAACACGAAATGATAATGTAATCGAAACTGGTCGGATCGGTCGGCTTGGTTGGTGCCGCAAATGTGGAAACTCTCGGTGGAATTGGAATTGGAATTGGCCTACACCGGCGAGTTGCGGGGATGTTGCAACAAATCGCGGCCAGCCAGCTAGCCGAAATGTTACCAACGGCAATCGGCAATCGGCAATCGGCAATCGGCAAGCGGCAAATCGGAACTTAACTTCAACTTGGGCCTGCCTCTTGGCTAAAATGTGGAGCGTGCGATATATGGTCAGGCGATTTGCGATTTGCGGCTAATTGGCGGACAGGAACGGAACTGGAAGAATCCAACTGGTTGCGCAGGCCAACAATTGCCAACACTCACTGTAAGCCAGCTAAAATCGCACAAATTGGCATGACAGATAAATTATCTATAAGATGCGCTCGCCTACTCATTAAAAATGTCAGTATGGCGCAGTGATCGGATAAACACCGGAAAAAATTCAAGTTCATTTTATCCTGTATCAACGAATAATTAAGCAAGGTCCTTAAATAATATTTTTTGGTAAAGAAAATAGCTAACTTCTCCATAGATATTTTTTGTATGCTATCTAGGTTCTATATAC